TATGTAAGTGTCTAATTAATTCCATTTTCAGGGTGGTATGCCTGTCCTCAGCTATGCCCAGTGTCCCCTAGTTCAAAGACTAGCTAAGGATTTGGCTTTCTTGGGCTGCTAAGTCAGTCCTTGTGTGTCTCATTGCTCCTGATTTTGGCGCCTTTACTCATGTCTTAGTGGGTCTCTGGAGGGAAAGAAGGCGTTTTCCATTCCCATTGCCCCTGACTCCAGTGGGACTTTTGAAGGACTCTTTCCAATCTTTCTACTTTGTCTGCATAGCCACTATATTGCTACCAAAGTCAATTTCTTCAAACACAAAACCACTCATTTACTCAAAAACCTCATTGGGCTTTCTACTGCCTACAGAACAGTCGAAACTCCTTAGCATGGCAACCAAGGTCTTGGATGATCTGACCCCAATATACCTTTCTAGCATGACTTCTCATCATACTACCCTCCATACATACCCAAGGCTGCAACAGTTTTAGTTTTAATAGTGCACCTGCATCACTCTCTGTCTTAAAGACAGGCAATCAGTTGTGGAGAGGAGGTTGGAACCAGACTGCCTGGATCCATTATCTCAGCTCTGCCGCTTTACCAGTTGGGTGATCTTGGGCAAGTTACTTAATATCTTCATCTGTAAAACAGGGATCGTAATGGTACCTGCCCTCCAACATTTTTGTGAGGATTAGTAGAGCACTTACAACAGCAGCTGGCATACAGGAAGTGCGATGTAAGCGTTTAAGATTTTAAACCTCTGCACACCTGTCTGCCCCAGTAGATGATATCATGTCCTTGGAGAGGGATCTCTTCTCCTTTACTCAACATTTGTGGTGTGTTTATAAGGGGACAGACATGACGCTATTCACCAGGTACGACGTAAAAAGAGCTTGGCAAATGGAGGTTGTTGACTAATGATTAAAACATAATGCGACATTTTTCACAGAAATAGAACAAAGAATCCTAAAATTTATATGGAACAACAAAAGACCCCAAATAGCCAAAGAAACCTTGAGAAAAAAGAACGAAGATGGAGGTATCACACTCCCTGATTTCAAAATATAATACAAAGCTATAGTAACGAAAACAGCATGGTACTGGCACAAAAACAGACACACAGATCAATGGAATAGAATTGAGAGCCCAGAAATAAAGCCACACATCTATGCACAGCTAATTTTTGACAAAGGAGCCAAGAACATACAATGGGGAAAGGAAATTCTCTTCAACAAATGGTGTTGGGAAAACTGGACAGCCACATGCAAAAAAATGAAAGTAGACCATTATCGTATACCATACACAAAAATTAACTCAAAATGGATTAAAGACTTGAATGTAAGACCTGAAACCATGAAACTTGTAGAAGAAAACATAGGAAGTATGCTCTTTGACATCAGTCTTAGCAATATATTTTCAACTACTATGTCTGACTGGGCAAGAGAAACAATAGAAAAAAATAAACAAATGGGACTACATCAAACTAAAAAGCTTCTGCACAGCAAAGGAAACCGTCAACAAAATGAAAAGACAACCTAACAATTAGGATAAGATATTCGCAAACCATATATCTGATAAGGGGTTAATCTCCAAAATATATAAAGAACTCGTACATCTCAACAACAAAAAAGTAACAACCTAATTAAAAAATGGGCAAAAGAGCTAACAGACATTTCTCCAAAGATATACAGATGGCCATCAGGCACATGAAAAGATGTTCAACATCGTTAACAATCAGGGAAATGAAAATCAAAACTACAATGAGATATCACCTCACACCCATCAGAATGACTGTGATTAACAAGACAGGAAAGAACAAGTGCTGGAGAGGATGTGGAGAGAAGGGAACTCTCATATACTGCTGGTGGGAGTACAAACTGGTGCAGCCACTATGGAAAACAGCATGGAGATACCTCAAAAAATTAAGAATGGAACTACCATATGTTCCAGCTATTCCATTGCTGGGTATTTATCCAAAGAACATGAAAACACAAATGTGTCAAGATACATGCACCCCTTTGTTCACTGCAGTATTATTCACAATAGCCAAGATTTGGAAGCAACCTAAGTACCCATCAAGGGATGAATGGATAAAGAAGATGTGGTATGTTTACACAATGGAATACTACTCAGCTATAAGAAATGATGAAATCCAACCATTTGTGACACCATGGATGGACATTGAGGGTATTATGCTAACCGAAATAAGTCAGAGGGAGAAGGTCAAATACTGTTTGATCTCACTCATAAGTAGAAGATAAAAACAACAAACAAACACATAGAGACAGAGATTGGATTGGTGGTTACCAGAGGAGAAGGAGGGAGGGAGCAGAGCGAAAGGGATGATTAGGCACATGTGTGTGGTGATGGATTGTAATTAGTATTTGGGTGGTGATCATGATGTAATCTATGCAGAAATAGAAGTATAATGATGTACACCTGAAATTTATACACTGTTATAAACCAATGTTACAATTAAAAAAAAGAAAAAGAAAAAAAACCCCAAAAACATAATGTGACTAACACTACAATCAGAAAAGAGCACAGTGAAGAGAATACAAAGCATGTAAGATCTAATGGTTCAGAAAAGATGGAAAAGCCTTCACAGATGCACCATTTAAAATGGGGCTTGACAAATGAATACGTAAGCCAAAAGGTGGTGCTGCTAAGACAGTGGGTGGGGGGAGAACCCAAGGGAGGCTAGAGAAGCAGGTTGGGGCCAATTGCACAAGGCCCTGCATAACCTGTTTGAGTCTGTATTGTGTTTCAACCAGCGTTTGTCAATTTCACCAACACAGCACACTGGGAGTGCCATAGATCATTTTGAGGAGTTAAAAGTATTTTGTTACTAATAACAGCTGAAACGCAGCTACTTGACAATTATTCTAAAAATAAATTAGAACATGCCCCCATATAATACTGAAGAAACCAGACACAAAAGAACACATACTCTATGATTCCACTTATATAAAAGACAAAACCAGGCAAAATTAATCTATGTTGTCTCAATTCAGAATACAGTTACCTTTACGGGTGGTTAGTGACTGGAAGGGGATCCAAAGGGGACTTCTGGGGTGCCAGGAACGTTGTTTCCTGATCTGGGTACTGGTTCTGCAGGTATGTTGTTTGTGAAAATTTAACAAGTCGTATACTTTTATGTGTATTTTACTGTATCTGTTATATTTTAAGTTAAAACAATAAATTAGATTCATGACACTGTGCTCACTTGGACACACATATGCTTTTACTTGGAGAAGAGGTGGAGTAACAGACTGGGAATTCATTGTGCAAATGTTACTAATTTTGTATTCCTTTATGGACTAACTCTGAACAGCTCTTGGATACTATGAACGGCCAAGGATGGTTACAACAGAGCCAGCATCAGTCACCTTCACCAATGGTAGGGATTCATGCGTGTGATAAACTGACTTACACCCAAGAGTCAGTTATACTTGGAGAAACTCTGAAATACCGACACTCAGCACATGTATAAGATGGCCTTTCCTCATTTTAGATATAACAAGGGGCTGATGGTTCCTTATTAACCTTACAGAGAAACACAGGTCAAAAACACATCTGTATAAGCATGACTTTTAATGCATTCAGCATTTATGTACCGTTAGGAACATAAAGAATCAGGTTTGTTTTGTTTTTTCTTTCCTTAAAAAAAGTTATTTTCACTAAAAAAAATTACGTGCCCAGTTAAGAACAAATAAATAGAAAAAGATATATAATGAGAACTCAAATCTTCTACTTCAAATCTGTTTCCCAAGGCAATCACTATTAGACTTTCTTATATATTCTTACATAAATATTTTATAAACACACAAAAGTATATATAAATATATGTGTGTATTACCCCTGCCCCATCTTCTTTTCTTAAACAAATGGGAGCCCAGTATGTTCACTTTTGTTCTTTAATGGAGATGTTTCATATCTGTAATGGATATGAATGGATACAGCTCATTCTTGCCACAAGTATATAGCATTCCACTGAGTACATATATCATGACTTATTTAACTACGTATTTCTAGTCTTTTCCTTTTACAAACAATGTGGCATTGAACATCCCTGAATATACATTCTTTGATGTGCTTTTTAATTTATTTAGAAACTGCCCCAATGTATGCCCCCAACTCTGTTACCAAACTTTTTGACCTCTACATTTCTATTAGGTTAAGATTAGCATCTCATTGTTACTTTAATCAGCACTCCTCTACTTAGTTCTACTGATCTTTCTACCTCTATCTGAATGAGTACTAGCCTGTTTTGATTACCACAGCCTGAAAATAAATTTTAATGCCTCGTAGGTTCAGCCCTCCTTATATTTCTCTACAAAAAGATCATTTAAAAAATATTTTAAGGACAACATTTCAGATTGTTTTAATGACAGACTCATCAGCATAATACAGTTGCTGTTCTTATCATACAAATCCAACAAACATGAGAAAACTTGAATTTACTGTCTTCCTTCAAAAAGATAGACTATAATTATTCATATCACAATTTTAAATAGGAAAATTACCTAGTAACTAAAAATTTTTTTAAAAATTAGACTCATGTTCATAAACCATATACATACATATGCACAGAGCTAATCACCACTCTTAAAAAAAACTAAGATTTTAAACTTTTTACATATCACATTACATGTAAATACCTCGGGGGAAATAATAACTGTACTGGGTTAAATAGTGTCCCTCCCAAAATTCATGTCCATCCAGAACTTGTGAATGTGACCTTATTTGGAAGTAGGGTTCTTGCTGATGTAATCAAATTAAGATGAGGTCATACTGGATGAGAGTGGGCCCTAATCCAATGACTGGTGTTCTTATAAGAGGGAAGCTGGATACAGACACACAAACAGGGAAAATGTCATGTGACAATGGAGGAAGAGATTGGAGTGAGGTAGCTACAAGTCAAGGAATACCATAGACTGCCAGCAATTGCCAGAAGCTAGCAAGAGGCGGGAAGGAGAGGCAGGGAAGGATTCTCCCCCAGAGCCTTGGTGGAAAGCATGGCCCTATTAACCTTGATTTTGGACTTCTAGCCTCCAGAACTGTGAGAGAATAAATTTCTGTTGTTTTATGCTGCCAAGTTTGTGATAATCTGTTATAACAGCCCTAGCAAACTAATACAATAACCATCCCAAATCTGTATAAGTTTGAACTACCATAAATTTCAGGTGGTGTGCAACAGTATCGAGTAACTTTTTATTTGATATATCTTTTTCAGTCACTAGGTTGCTTCCAAAAAGCAGCAAGACTTGATTTAGAAAACCCTTTTGACGTTTCTTTTGTTTACTATTATCTCATTGAGGCACAATTTATATTAGGAAAGAATAGTTCCTGGAAATAAAACGCCACTGTTTCACAAACGGTTCATATTTTTATTATATATTGCATCAATATGTTTTAACAACTTCAAAAGCGCTGTTGGATTATATGGGAAAAGATTTTTCTTCTGCAAACGGTAAATGGCTCCTTGTAGCTCTTCAAAGCATTTTACTGTTCTGTAAGATATTCCCACTTCAGAGACAATGTTATTTGGGGCTATGTCACAATCAACAGAGAAGGGAGTATTAGATTCTTTAGGAACCAGAGGCCTTGACTGAACCTCCAGGCTAAGTTCTTTTTTATTCCTACTTGTTCCAACTGTGTCCTGAATTTTCTTCATTGCTTCTTGGTATAAAGATGTCTGTTCACCACTTGATAAATTTTGGTCTGTGGATTCTACTTCAGAATCATCAGAGCTGTCATAATCTACCAGACTTTGAGAAGCTCGTGTGGGAGACAGACTATTAGCCTGGGGTGTGACGTGGGTCTCCTCGGACATCACGACCTGGTTCACTGGTTCAGAAGCAGCATCAGAAGCCCAGGAGACCCAAGCATGAGCATTTCTGTGACTACCAAGAGCAGCCAAAGGACTAGGTCCTGTTTGGTTGCTGCTTTTGTCTTGGACAAGTGAGAAGATACAACCACAAATGTTTATGCTATCTCTAGATTCAGTTACATCAAAGTACTTGCAAATGGTGAAAAAATTATCCCAGTCTTTTTGCAGTAATTTTAAATATCTAACAAAATATTCAAGAAAACAGGTTTCTGATGAAATCAAAAAGTCAAGAAGAACTGTAGAATCAAATCCTATATTTTTTAATAAGAATAAGAAAATACAGTGTGGATTATAGCCATTTTCATGTGTGTGATGGTTCCACATTTCTTTTTCTTGGGTCAAGCTTTCAGTAGCTTCACATTCTCTAAAAATAAAGATAATGGAGACCCTAATTAATGACTTTTTATAAAAGTAACAGTTTTGACAGATATAATTCATATATTGAATATGAATTCATAATTGATGAATTGATGAATTCATATATTGATATGAATTCATAATTCATATAATTCATATAATTCATAAATTCACCTATTAGATAACTTTTTAATCTATGTATTATTTTATTTTATTTTATTTTTATTTTTTTGTGAGGAAGATCAGCCCTGAGCTAACATCTGTGCTAATCCTCCTCTTTTGCTGAGGAAGACCGGCTCTGAGCCAACATCCATTGCCAATCCTCCTCCCTTTTCCCCCAAAGCCCCAGCAGATAACTGTATGTCATAGCTGCACATCCTGCCAGTTGCTGTATGTGGGATGCGGCCTCAGCATGGCCGGAGAAGCGGTGCGTCAGTGCACGCCCGGATCCGAACCCAGGCCGCCAGCAGCAGAGCGCACGCACCCAACTGCTAAGCCACGGGCCGGCCCTCTATGTATTATTTTAAAAGAAAAAAATTTCAAACCAATCTCTTTCTCCACAAACTCTATAAAAATCTGACTCAATAAAATATAACAAAATCCACTGACTTTGGTAGTTCTAGTTTTTGTCCGCCCAACAAAAGTCCTCTGTCTTCCTGTCTCTTGATACGAGAGTTCTTCATTCCTACAGGTAACTAATTCCATGTGGTCAGGTGGGGCTGGAGCCTAACCTCCTTCCTTTCCTTCCCCACTGTCAACAGGGATGGGCATGTGACCCAGACTGACCAATCAGAGTACCCAATACTCCAGGCCACAAGGATTGGTTCCGACATGATTCTGTGACCCAACGGGCCAATCAGAGCTCCCCTGGGACTTTTGCTGGAGCTATTAAATATTATAACTGTAAGGCTGTTGTAAGCCTGGCACTACTAGTGGCCCTACCTGAGAATAAATTCAGAGCTGTGAGATAAAATGAAATAATCAATGACATGATTTGAATCCCTATATATACAGTTATGCCTGATGCTAACTTGAACCCTTAGAATTCCCAACTAAGAGCCAATAAATTCCTTTTCTTGCTTAGACTAGTTTGTGTTGGGTTCTATCATTTACAACTAAACCATCTTAACTAATACAATTACATTAAAAAAATACATATGACACAAACGCATGCCTCTCTGGACACACTGAATTGAAGTTAAGAAAGTTAGAAATTCACATATAAAGTGAATTTAATTCAGACACTTCCTCTTTCCTGAAGAGTAAAAAGTCAACTTAGAGTACAACTAAGATATATTCTAACAGGCATGTGCATTTTCAGACTGAATTTGTATTTGACCGTTTTGGAGCCTAATTCAAATCACATGCAGGAATTTTGTGTTCTTGATTAGAATCTTTTGAAAATTGGCCCCAAACACTTACAGTCTGAAAGCAGCCACTGCCAGCAGTGTCATAATACAAGTAAGAACTGGCAGCACAACACTGTACCGACGATCATTAGTAAGAAATCCCTTTCTCTGAAGCCAAGAAAGAAATGGAAATAAAGCAAATACTTTAAGGTTTTAATAAAGCAGAAGCAGAAATAGTGTAAAAGGTCATCAGTTATTAACTTCATAACCAATTACAGATATTTGCCATAAGAAGACCCAAGTACATGACCCAAGTACAGCTGTTTTAATAAAGCAGAAAGAGGATCAGTATAAAATGTCATCAGTAACATAACTTCATAACCAATTTCAGATATTTGCCTCAAGATACTATCAGCCCCAGTTCAACTGTATAATAAAATGAAAATTTAGAACAGCTCCTTTGATTACTTACAAGTTTACACTCACCTCTACAAAGGCAAAAATCACCTTATAGAAGCTCAATATAGAAAAGTTAGTCTTTGAGGTGAAAAGAGTTTTTAAACATCAATTAAATTTAGATTCAGACAAGGGTACTAACTTACTCCTGATTACACAGGTAAAACAGATGAAGACTAAACCAGAACCTATGTTTTCTAATCCCAGTCTAGTTCCACCACCCTAGATCTGCCTAGCCAGCGAAGTTTTCATAATGAAAACTCAAATCAATCTCATTTTCATGTAGGGCAGGGTTAAAGAAAGGAATGGGAACTTATAAGGAAACCACAAGATTGTTAGGGATTTTTTCCCCTTAATGATGGAAAGTAAACAATACGTCCAGCACATTATTAAAAAGGTTTTCTGCTTTCCTGGCATGAAGTTAGTACAATTACTTTAAAATATACTAACCTGGTCAACTTCAGGTAGATGCCCAATGATGCTTTGGCAGCCTCCAGCATGTCATCGTCTTGTTCTATGAAGACTCGAGACAACCACTCACAGTGACTGTGTGATTGCAGAGAGGGCTGAAGGTGAGGCTTTAAGAAGGTCAGTAACTCAGACATGAACCTCTGTAAATCAACTTCAAAAAATCCAAATTTCAAAGAGTAGGCAACAGTTTATGAACACATTAACAGCTTGCCTATAGATAAATTTATAGTATCTAAAATATTTTAAAATGCCTTATCATAATTCACACTTTCAAAAAGTTTATGAGTTAAGGATTATCTTTACTTTGCAAATCAGGAAACAGCTTAAGAGAAAAAGTGACTCACTCAAAAGGATACAGTTAAAATGTACAGCCAGATCATCTATTTGCCACAACTGCCAAATAACTAATTATCTCTGAGAAATAAAAGTTACATGAATTCTTGCTAAAAGCATATAAATGAATGAGTGGTAGACAACAGAAATCATTTCACTGGATGCCACAGCTGTCTGTTATGAGGCAACAATGCCACCAAACAAAAATAATTTTGCCTTCAAAATAACAGAAAAAACTTTTTGTTTGTTTAAAGAAATAAAAGAAAGTACTACTATTAAGCACAAAAATCAAAAAGGTTTTGGGGCATTTTAACTGCAATTTAAAACTGAATTATATAACACATGCCACCTAGTGTTGCAAATTATAACTGCACAGAATTATATCTACTATGTAGTTATTATAAGCTAAATGATATCCAAAGCAATTCTGGGAAGTCATTGCTTACAATTCAAACCTTTTACTGAACTATATGCTGCTTCTTTAGAGACATTTACTGTTCATTTTTCTCAAATGAAATGCAGGACATGTCTTCCCCAACACTTATATTGAATATCACACTTATAACAGCTGTCTTTGGACTCTGAGTTAACATCCTGGAAATTAGATGCAACAATTTCTTTGTCAATATAACTTCTCACATATTAGTTTCAATTCAATTCCTAATTATCAATAATCTACATTAGTAGATATACAAATTTTATGAATGAAAATATGAATTAAATACTACAAATATCTGAATATGAATTGACATATCACTTTGAGGTGACTCAACAGCACCTTTTTTTTTAACATTAGTCATTAATTATGCTATACAAATTCAGTTTAGTCACAAAAAGTTGACATGTTTCTTAAGGTAATTTTAGTTCTTTTTTCTTTTTGAAGAAAATTTAATGAATTAACTATGATAACATGTAGCTTAAATTAGCTGAATAATAGTCCTGAGATAAGCATACAAAAAGGAGTTTGAAGAATTACCTTTCATTTGATTTGCTGAAGCACAGTTTTGAAACTTGATTTCTAAGGATTTAATAATAAGTAAGCTCGCTGCTCTAAGGACCACATGATCTGGACCAGGGACACGCTCACGTCCAGGTTGAACTTCACCGCCTCCAAAGCAGGAAGGTTTTCCGTGGACAGACAATGTCCTCAATAAGCCCAAATCCACAGCTTGCAAAACAGCACCAGCTAAAGCCAGCAAGTCCACATCTAAATGACGATCTGGCAGCACGAAGGCAAGGACAGATCCCCGACAAAGGTCTTCACCCACTTTCCGGAGAAGGCACTTCTTGATGAATATGATGAACTTCCTTTTGACAAAAGCTGGAACAGGCCAGGTAATAACGTCTAGCACACAAGAAGGTTTCAAAAATAAAATCCTCTGGCAAGTGAAATGTAACTTCAGGTGGATTCTGGAGGCTACAAGAAGTTCAAGCAATTCCAGGAAACATATCAAACTGTTTATTATTTTAGAAGTATCTTTGTGGTTTTCAAAATGCTGAGAAAATAAGGAATTGTAAAAAACTTCAAAAAGAGTGTGAAAAGGAGTCAGGAACTGCTTTAGAATTTCTGAAATTATAAAAATAGTAATTATAAACAACAGCAAAAACAAAGGCTTCTTAAAACATAATTTTATAATTCACTTTTTGTAAATGTTATCACTTTACAAGATGAAAAAATGGATTTGGATTTATTTACTTCTAACGTGAACAAATGAAGATACACAGACTAATAGCTAACAACCACGGTTAATATCCATTTTACAAATATCAATAGCTTGGGACTATGCAAGGAATATATAATAATGAAAAGCTTTAATTTTTTTCCTTGTAACTTTTTTCTTTTAAAAAGGTATCCTAAATCAAAAAAATATGAAGCAAGATTCTTTAGTTTTTCATACTTCAAAACAGCTCAGATGTTGTAAAATAAGTTTTACTCTTCATTATAAACATAGTGCACCTTGGGAGCAAGATAATGACAAGCATTTATGGGGGAACATAATTCGTACCTGTTTTTTGTGAACATGTATCTTTAAAGATTTCTTTTATTACAGCAGTAAGAGTCCAGAGGCAGTATACTACTTTATCACTTTCAGAGTATTCAGAAAGATTTTTTTGGCAAAAAGAAATCCAGGAATTATTTAATGTTATCTGTGAGAAAATTTTAAAAAGTAGTAAGTTATCATACAATATTTTCTTTACAATTCCAAATTACCTATTATACCCAATACAACTCAATATAACATTGTTTACTCCCTTGCAAAAAAAAAAGTATGATAATATTTAGTAAAACAAAAAGGACACAATTATCTTAATATTCTCTAAGTCAAGAAATTCAATATGCCATAGAAATAAAGAATCAAAAGGGAACATGAAAATATTAGCAGGGTTGTTTCTAGGGGGTGAAGTGACGTGTAATTTTTATTTTGTTCTTTATATCTTTTCTCATTTTCCAGATTTTCTACCGCGAATATCACCTCTTTGTACTCAAGACAAAAATGTTATTTTAAGAAAGGAACAAGCAATTATAGCTGAAATAAGTCAGTAGATGCTTAGATTTATTAACTAATTTAGAGATAAGAGAAAACTCGAATGCTCAATTTGTTTGTATTTTTTTCATTATGCTGAGGACCACTCTTAGAATTTATTTATATTAAATCTGTGAAAATGGCCTTGGTTTCAAGCAGGGGTTCCTAAACCTTTTTTTTGGAGGGGAGGAAGGAAGTCTACTTACACCTTTGAGAATATGAAGAAAGTATGGACTCGCTGACTTGAAACCTACCTTTTGGGTTAAGAATCTGATTTTTAGTGATTTACAACATATTTAAGACTAATCCCTGATACAAGTCACTATCATATTATTCCATTCTTACACTTTTGTGGATTTACACAAGTTACTATGTGAGCAAACATTTTATTAATACAAATATTTGAAGGGTAAAAGTGAATGCCAAAGAGCAATTTTAAAGAAACTATAAAAGAAATAACATAATTTGATTCTTTACCTTACCTTTTCTCTCAACTGGAAATAAAGAAGTAATGCAAGGCACTTGGCAGCCATGTGACATAACAATTTATCTGAGTTTTGGAACATACAGGTCTACAAGAAAACAAAAAAATTTACTCGCTATTGCTGAATGTTTTTAAAATTTTTATTTTAAAAATCTAGATCTTAAAAAAAACACACCAAAAACCTCACAAAAAACAAATGGCTTACTAATTTAGAATCAACATCGGACGACTTTAAAAGAATTTTAATTATTTCTCTGTATTTCTCCTTTGCATGGAACTCTGTTTCGACAGACAATATCCTGGTTACCATCACTTTGATCACCGTTAACTGAAGGAGCACTGTTTCTCGGGCACTGCTCATCTCAGGGCATCTCTGCAAACACACAGGTGCTACAGAAATGGTAGCGACACTGAGAGAGGATGGCTGACACTTGCCCTGGACACCAAGGGTGTCGGAGCATTCTGAGGAGGCGGTTGTAGAGCAATCTTGATCTGAAAACGCTGGGTTGAGATAAATGATGTAATCATGGCTGTCACTTTCAAGTGTGGCTCCAAAAAGTACCTTCTTGTATAATTGTTCTAAAACTTCAAAGAAAGCTTTCATTTTGATTACCAAAATATATCTTATAAGAAGGCTGACAACTCCAAAGTGTAAATATGAATCTTAGAAGTGCGACGAATCTCTAAGATGTTTCTTCAGTAAAATCTAAAATAAGAAAAATAATTTTAAAATTATAAGTGTTATATATGTATCATATTACAAGGGAAAGGCATCAGTTTCCACTTAACCATTTAGTCTCTCAAGTTAAGGTAATACTGATTGCTTAATTTCTAAAATGGAAAACTGGTAATAAGAACATTATTTTAAGACCGTAAAAATGAAATGTATGCTTTCCATACAGATTTAAGACCATAAAATTATTATTATTTTATTATTTTTTTTGCTGAGGAAGATTGACCCTGAGCTAACATCTGTGCCAATCTTCCTCTCTTTCTTTTATGTGAGGTGACACCACAGCATGGCTTGACAAGCCGAGTATAGGTCTGCACCCGGAATCCGAACCCACGAACACCAAGCCGCTGAAGCAGAGCGCGTGAACCCTACCACTATGCCACCAGGCTGGCCCCTATAAAATTATTTTTAATTTTATCACAGCAGAAACTTCACCTTTCCTCTAAAATTTTTCAAAGGACTATCAGGGTTTCTCAGCCTTGGCACTATGAACATCAGGGACTGAATTAATTTTGTTGTGGGGAGTTGTCTTGTGCATTGTAGGAAGTTTAGCAGCATTCCTAGCCTCTACCCACTAGATGCCAGTAGCACCTCCCTTGGTGGGGCAAAACCACCCAGGTTAAGACCCACCAAGCTAATTGAGATTCACCTTCAACTTATAGATGAAAACCCAGTTAGACTCCTACTTGGTCAAACTATTATGGGTATTGCTGATTAATTCCCAACTCAAAATTATATGATGACAGAAAGAAACCTTGGTTATCACTTATAACATTAAATAAAAAATTTTAAAATGCCATCCCAAGAAAAAGACAAGATATTAAGCAAAAGCAATCCAAACTTGGGCATATTGTATTTGTAGAGGGATGCAAATTTAGACATTCTGGTTGTCCCAGACACCTCTGACATGACAGAGACCAGGAAAAGTGGGGAGAAAAGAAAGAACATTTAGGGTTAGACATGGCTTTTAAAGCAGAGAATGTGGGCCATCAACTGGTAGATGAAAATTAGAGGAAGCATGTAGAGCAAGCATGGCTATAGCACTATAGAGCAAGCATGGCTAGGAAAAATTTAAGACTTTGGCATAAGCAAAAGAGATTACAGAATACCCTTTCAATGGAAAGCTGGAACCTCTGGGAATTAACTGATCCTATGGGGCTCAGTCCTTTCATTGCCTTTGAGCTATTTTACACCTTTGTAAATTGTAGATAACTGATAGCAATGCAAATAATTCTTGCCTATAGACATGCAAATAATTGTCTGGTGGAGGGGCAACCCGTCCTGCAGTGAGAAAAGCCAGTTTTGCTTCTGTCTGTAAACTCACTTCAACATTCCTTTACTTCATATACATTCATAGTTCTTTAACTTCGCCCTTAAAACAGTTGTGACATTTGCCTAGTTCTTTCATTAATTCATGACTTAAATAAAATCATTGATACATGTTCATTTTATATAGGTCATGATTTTGTCCTCTTAAAATTTATCCTTTAACAAAATCCACAGACCTCCCTCGTCTACCCTGACCCATTTATAAATGCCCTGTCCATCTTTAACCTCCTTTCTCACTGGAAGGGAACTCTGAGGGCTGTCACTTATATTCAGTCTCACTTCTACCATGCAGACCACTAACCTGCCCTTGGTCTTTAAACCTCCCTCTCCCTTTCTTCCTCTTGCTTAGCTCCTAAGGAATTTCAATTCCTAATCTTGTGGGGAACAAGAAAAAGCTGCCTTGTTTTAGTCCTCTAGTGCTGAAATAAATATTAAGAAACCTATAGATTTTAATTTAAAGTCATGAATAAAACTTTTGGTAAGTTTTCTCTGAATCTTATTTTCAAAAAGTGGTGTGTATCCCACACGATTTATAAACATAACTAAATATCGGTAACCTTGTTACATCTGACAATGTTAAACTCTACCTGAGCCCCGTGCTTCCAGAAAGCAGAGCTGGTCAAGGAGCACCACAGCCTTACGTGTGCAAGAAAGGGCTAACCAGGAAGGACCATACTCCCAGACAGGACCCACCTCCATCCTTCATCACTGACCTCCCTTGTTTCATAAAACACCATGTTTTCTCCTTCTTTGCGAGGTTTCCCATTAATGAACATTCTCCCTGTTGCGAAAGCCTGAATAAAATCATCTCCTTAATTGTCTAGTGTATTTTGTCTGTCACACACCAGAAATTAATTTCTATATTCTACTTCAGAGTCTAATTCCCCATTGTAATTATTTTACTTTATGTTTTAGTTATAAGAATAACATTTCTTCCCAATAAAACTACTGACGTTTTTACATGTCAAATATTCTATGACAAGAGACTATTTTAAGTTTCAATTAATATCATATGCTCAACTCTAGTATTATAATTTTCAGTTACAAGTGGAATTATTTTTATTTCAATGCTATAGCAAGAAAAATACTTCCAATAATATTTCTACAAATCCTAAGTCCTTAAATTTTAGCACAAATGAGAATAAAATTGCTGCTATCCAACCATTTTTGACCTACAAAAAAGACCATTTAAAATGGTTCAACCATTTCAGCATGCAAAACCAAAGTGAATGTCAGTAAATAAATAAATAAGCAAGCAAGCATTCCAGGGGGAAAATGGGCTATTTTCTATCATGGTGGGACCCAGGTTCTCTGGTAAGAGTGGTTGTGAGAAATCAGATTGAAAAGTTATAAACTTTAAATTAAGAAATACAGATTCAAAATGACCCTTTATAGGCAGAGGAAAAAACAAAAGCATCAATTAGGGGTCATGAATGCCAGGTAGGTAACAAATGAATGAGGAGGGCAGGGGCGAGGCTGCTTCTTTTGTGACTAAGCATCCATCTTTCCTAAATACAATGTCTTTTAAAACATTAATGCTGGCCAAAGAAACCTGCACTGAAACAAGGGTCTGTGGGTGGCCCACTGACAACTGAGAATTGTAGTTTTGTTTTTTTAAAAAAAATACAAAGTATTAAAGGTAAGGACAAATCCCGAAAAAAAAAAAGAACTAGGGGATTTGACTGACCACACTTTTTTTTCTGAAGTGGCTGCTCCAAGGTTGGTACATCTCAAGCTGCATCACCACGCTGGTCTGGAAGAAGGTGTACCTTCCGACACCGAGCTTTTAAGAGGCACTGACAAAGCAAAGTGTCCGGGGAAGGAAGGGTGCTCAGAATGTTGAGAGGCTTTGAGGGCAGCTATACTGGATGAATGCGAGAGATCTGTCTAGCCTAGAAAGGAAACAGGTATTAGGAGAGCTCTAATTAGGACAAGAAATGAGCAGTGCCTCTCGGAGTTTCTTCAGAAAATGCCTCTTGGCAGAAGAGAGTGAACTCTCCTACCAGGGGGCCTAAGGAAGTACCCACTACAAGCATAATATTTGCCTCAAGTCTCTCTTTTTTTAAGTATTATAAACAATCTGAATTTTGCATTGCTATACCTAACAGAACCATGTGTGTCTTAATATAAAAATAATATACTTCCCACCTATCTTCACATAAAATTGATGTTTTAGGAATAATAATTGCTAAAGTTTATTGAGTGCCTACTAAGCACCAGACACTGTTCTAAGTGAATAAGAGTTTCACAATAACCTTTTGAGGTGGGTACTTAATTATCATACTCATTTTACAGATAAGGAAATTAAGGTACAGAGAGATTAAGTTATAGAGCTAGTTAGGTGGCAGAGTCAGGATTTGAACCTAGAAAGTCTAACATCACAGCCTGTGGCACTCCTTAAATCTCCTCTGGTGCTCCAAAAAGCCTCAGGATAATGGTTGAATAGAGGATCTCTAATAATCTTCCTAAGTGAAAATAGTAATTCACACAGCCCAATCTTTAACATTTCTTATATTTACTCCCATAATACTGTAAAACAGAACACCGATCCTTAGAATCATTTTCACACGCTTTCACAAAATCTAAAATCAAGATCAATTACTAATACAACTTCCCAGTGCAAACCAAGATTAATTTTTTCAAAAGATACTCAGCAACCACGGACTGAAACATTAATGAGGACACCCACTTGACTGGGTAGGCATGTCATCTGAAAAGATTCCTTTATAACCAATGTCAAATAGTGTGTTGCCTATATTTTATTCTATGAGTTTTATAGTTTCAGGTCTCACCTTCAGGTCTTTGATCCATTTTGAGTTAATTTTTGTGAATGGCGATAGCAGATGGTCCACTTTCATTCTTTTGCATGTGGCTGTCCAGTTTTCCCAACACCATTTATTGAAGAGACTTTCCTTTCTCCATTGTGTGTTCTTAGCACCTTTGTCGAAAATTAGCTGTCCGTATATGTGTGGTTTTATTTCTGGGCTTTCAATTCTGTTCCATTGATCTGTGTGTCTGTTTTTGTACCAGTACCATGCTGTTTTGATTACTATTGCTTTGTAGTATGTTTTGAAGTCAGGGATTGTGATGCCTCCTGCTTTGTTCTTTTTTCTTAGGATTTCTTTAGCTATTCGGGGTCTTTTGTTGCCCCATATAAATTTTAGTATTCTTTTTTCTATTTTGTGATGAGAACTTTTAAATGTATTCTCTTAGCAACTTCCAAATATGCAATACAGTATTAACCATAGTCACCATGCTATACATTACACCCCAAGACTTATTTATTTTATATATAGCTGGAAGTTTGTACCTTTTGACCCTCTTCACCCATTTGCCCCCCCACCCCCATCTCTGACAAACATCAATCTGTTCTCTGTATCTATGAGCTTGGTTTTTTTTTGTTTTTTTCTTTATCCATTCATCCATCAATGGACACTTAGGCTGTTTCCATATCTTGGCTATTGTAAATAATGCTGCAATGCCAGATTCTTGACAAAGACTGTAGTAGGCATCAGCTAACAGATACTGAGCCTCTAAAAAAGGGGTAGGGTGCAGTCTCAAAGATGGGAAACAGCGCAAAAGCAAGAGGTCACATTCATCTCAACAACCTGACAACTTGATTAGCGTCATCCTAGTTCACCTTTAATTGGCCCAAATGCAGGAATCAGCAAATGAGGTGCTGCTAGATAAATTCATTAAGAGCATGTACTGGTTTTAGACGAGTAATGAAGTAGTCTTGTTCTCAGAAGCCTAGAGTAATACAGGGACTGCAGCGTTTAACATAAACCTGATCAACAGAAAATACCCACACATATCTTTCCCAGATGGCTATATCAAAATGACTGCTCCAAAGGCAAACTATTTTTACACAGTACAGATTGATGCTGGACATTAGAATCATAGTGTTTAAGTACCATAAAAAACCTCAGAGATGATCTAGACCACTGGTTTGCAGTCTAGCTTCAGAATCTCCAAGACAGCTTGACAGAATATGATGGCGGGGTCCACCTCCAGAGATTTTGATTCAGTGGATCTGGGCAGGGCCCAAGAATTGGACTGGGGACTATTCTTTAATGACCACTGACCAATCTACTCGATTTTCCTGATAAGGAATCTAAGCTCATTAGGTTTATATTATATTGTGCTAATGCTAAGCATTTTTTTTTAATGGAAAATCTCCAGGGTAGCAATATAAAAAACAAAACTTCTCTACCCTTAGTTGCTAAAATATGGTTCTACATTTTAAGTGGTGCTTCAGAATGAAATGTTTCTTTACTCATTCTCTTTTACCAATCTATGCCCCTTTCCCTCCTCCTCCTGGCCCCCACCAAAAAAACCTACCACCAGTGGCAGGGTAGAGTTTGGGGAATGTCTATAGATATGACAACAGCACCACCTATTTTACTGAACTCCTGAATTCAGAATACTGTACCAAAGAGACAAACTTGATTTTCGGTTGATAAAGTAAGGTTACCTAACCTACCTCAGCAAAGTAGCACACACTCAAAGATTTGCAAAAAGTACAGTTTATATGATGAAGACATTTCTACAATTCAAGCAGGAGGATGCCAATACTCCTTTATTTAGTCACCTCAAAGGTTCCTTCTTGACTCTGGACCTTGATACAATGCTGTTCCCTCCACTTAGAAAGCTTTTGTTTTCAGCTTAAATATGACTTTCTGTGACAACAAACTGCACAACATTAGAAGAAATGGATAAATTCCTAGAAATATACAACCTACCAAGACTAAATCAGGAAGAAATAGAAAATCTGAACAGACTGATTAGTTGTAAGGAGACTATTCAGTAATTAAAAACCTCGCAATGAACAAAGGTCCAAGATCAGATGGCTTCACTGGTGAATTCAACCAAACATTTAAAGAGGAATTAACACGCCTTCTCAAACTCTTCCAAAAAACAGAAAAGGAGGGAACATTTCCAAACTCATTTTATAAGGCCAGCATTACCCTGATACCAAAATCAGACAAGGACATCACAAGAAAAGATACTTACAGGCCAATATCACTGATGAACATAGATATAAAAATCCTCAACAAAATATTAGCAAACTGAGTTCAATAATACATTAAAAGAATCATATACCAATCAAGTGGGATTTATTCCATGGTTGCAAGGATGGTTCAACACCTGCAAATCAATCAATGTCATGCACCACATTAACAAAACGAAGAATAAAATTCACATGATCATCTCAATAGATGCAGAAAAAGCATCTGAAAAAATTCAACATCCATCTAGGATAAAACACTCTTAACAAAGTGGGTATAGAGGGAACGTGCCTTAACATAATAAAGGCCATATACAACAAGCACACAGCTAACATCAACTGTGAATGGTAAAAGGCTGAAAGCTTTTCCTCTAAGATCAGGAACAAGACAAGAATGCCCACTCTTGCCACTTTTATTCATTATAGTGTTGGAAGTCCTAGCCAGAGCAATTAGTCAAGGAAAATAAACAAAAGGCTTCCATATTGGAAAGGAAGAAGTAAAACTGTCACTATTTGCAGATGACATGACATCATATATAGAAAACCCTAAAGATTCCACCAAAAAATTATTAGAACCAATAAATGAATTCAGTAAAGTTACAGGAAACAAATTCAATATACAAAAATCTGTTGCATTTCTATCCACTAATAATGAACTATCAAAAAGAAAAATTAAAAAAAAAATCCCATTTAAAACTGCATCAAAAAGAATAAAATACCTAGGAAAAAATTTAACCAAGGAGGTGGAAGACCTGTACACTGAAAACTATGAGACACTGATGAAAGACACTGAAGACGACACGTGTAAATGGAAGGATATTCTGTGCTCATAGATTGGAAGAACTAATATTGTTAAAATGTGCATATTACCCAAAGCAATCTACAAATTCAATGCAATCCCTATCAAAATTCCAATGGCATTTTTCATAGACATAGAACAAACAACCCTAAAATTTGTATGGAACCATAAAAGACTCCAAATAGCCAAAGCAATCTTGAAAACAGAAGAACAAAGCTAGAGGAATTAGGCTTCCTGATTTCAAACTATATTATAAAGCTATAGTAATCAGAACAGTATGGTATTAGCATAAACACAGGCACATGGATCAATAGAACCAGAATAGAGAACCCAGAAATAAATCCATGCATATATGGTCAATTAATTTACAACAAAGGAGCAAAGAATATACAATGGGGAAAGGACAGTCTCTTTAATAAATGGTGCAGGGAAAACTGGATAGCCACACGCAAAAGAATGAAACTGGACCACTATTTTACACCATACACAAAAATTCACTCAAAATGGATTAAAGACTTGAACTATAAAACTCCTAGAAGAAAACATAAGTGAAAAGTTCCTTGACATCATCTTGACGATGATTTTTTGGATTTGACACCAAAAGCAAAGGCAACAAAAGCAAAAAAAACAAGTGGGACCACATCAAACTAAAAAGCTTCTGCACAGCAAAGGAAACCAAAATGAAAAGGTAACCTACTGAATGGGAGAAAATATTTGCAAATCATATATTTGAGAAGCGGTTAATATCCAAAAAACATTAAAAAATACAACTTAATAGCAAAAAAACAAACATTCTGATTAAAAAATGGGCAGAGAATCTGAATAGACATTTTCTAAATAAGATATACAGATGGGTAACAGGCACATGAAAAAGTGCTCAACATCACTAATCACCAGGGAAATGCAAATCAAAACCACAATGAGATATCACCTCAGACCTGTTAGAATGGCTATTATCAAAAATATAAGCAACGACAAGTGCTGGCAAGGATATGGAGAAAAGGGAACCTTTGTGCACTGTTGGTGGGAATGTAAATTGGTGCAGCCACTATGGAAAACAGTATGGAGGTTCCCCCCAAAACTACAAATAGAACTACCATATCATCCAGTAATCCCACTTCTGGGTATATATCTGAAGAAAACAAGAACAATAACTGAAAAATCTCTCCACTTTTCCTTAGGATAAAGCCCAAACCCCTGAACATGGCTTAGCAGGCCCTTCAAGATGTGACTCTTCTCACCTCTGTGACCTACAAACTAAGCTCCAAGCCTTCTCTGAGGTCCTCAGAAACTCTGTGCCCTTTAAGGATTCCCAAGCTTCGCTTAGTCCATTCTTTCTGACTAAATCACATTCAGCCTTCTCTCCCCAACTCTCAACCTTCAACATGGAAACCTCCAGTCTGGGGGGAACCTTCCACATATCCAAGTCAGGAATAGAGGGCCCTGCCAAGTGCTCCCTCAGCCTATACCACAGTATTTATCTCACTGCATCGTCTATAACTATTTTCTAATTTGGTTCCCCCACACTTGACTAGGAGCTCCCTTGGTCAGGCCGGAGTCCCGTTTGCCTACATAAGCCAACAGGTAGCTCATGTGGAAGGCACCGAAATGAGTATTCTTGAACAAATGAATGATGGTGTAAAAGAAAATATCAGGGGGCAAATTCAAAGCATCTGTAGTGAATCCATCTGCCACAAAACTTCTTAATATATTTTACTACATAAAAGCAGTTGATATATTGAAATACTTCCTTTATATAAACAGGTAGGCCCTTCTTCGAAGACATCGGTGGTAGCCAAATGTGACTTAGTTTAAAATAATATCAACTCCTGCCTAGACAACAATAGCCTTCCACATTTGCAGCAAACCCCACTCCCAGCTACAGTCTTCTCCACTGAGCAGCCAGTGATCTTTTCAAAACATAAATAAGATACTATAACTTCCCAAGCATGGCCTACAAGGTCCAGCCTGTCCCACACCCCAACCTCATTACCAATCACTCTTCCTCTTACTCTACTAGACTCGCTCACCTTCTTTCTTGCAGTTCTTGTAAACGGCAAACGTTATTCCAGCATCATAGGGTTTGCACTTTTGATTCTCTCTGTCTACAAAATTCTACCCCCCAGCTCTTGGTATGGCTGGCTCCTCTTCATTCAGATCGTTTGCTCAAATGTCATTTCCTCAGAGACCTTTCCTGACTATCTATAATATCCACCACGTCCTAGTCGAACTCGATTCTATTACTGTGCTTTATTTTCTTTATATAACCTATCCCTATTTGATAATTTTATGAAAGCTCCACGAGGGCAAGTGATTGCATCTATCTTGTCCACTGTTGTCTCCCTAACAGCTAGAACAGTGCCCGGCCAGTAAACACTTGCTAAATGAATAAATGCACTTAATGAACAGGTCCATCTGGCATATTTTCCACTCTCTTTTCCCCTCCATTCACAGGAATCCGTGAGGGTCGATATCCTTGCAGGAAAGCCCTTGAAATGTCACCGCCATCCCAAAGAGAGTCCTCTCTTCCGCGCTAGGCGAGGTATACCTAGCCTGGTAGCTAACGGGCCTCCGGGACGGAGATATGAGCCATGGACCTGGCACTCGAGTCAGAAAATCGCTGATGAGGGGCGGCGACACAAGGCGCCCCTCTCCTCGCTTCCTGAGGACTGCCGCCTCCCCAACCTTAACCCCTTGGACCAGCCTCTCAGTCGGCCAGACACACGCCTCCCCAGTTGCCGAACTCAGCGGCCGCTCCCAGTTACCTGCCAGGGATCTGGCTCCTGCCAGGGATCTGGCTCTACACACTCAGCCTTCCCACCGCCATTCCAGCGACCACCGGCCCCTGCCCGGCCACCGTAGTTCACGGAGAGTACACGCTAGTCCCTCCCCCCGCATGCGCAGAAGCTCCATTAGCGTACACTGTCTCTTAGCAACCGCTTCGAGTCCCTCCGCCAGGGGCGGAGCATCGGAAGCCACAGGGGGGAAGCCGAGGGGAAAGTAAGTAGGGCCAATTGGAGGCGACTCCCAGCCTCGATCGGCACGCCTCCTCTAACTGTCGCGAATGCGCAGGCGGCTTTACGGCAGCCAAGGGGTGGGGGCTGCCTGGGGTAAGGAGGAGAGAAGGAAGCAACCAACCAACCAAGTCGCCCCCGCCCCCCACCCCCACCTACTCCGGACCTGGTTTACGGCTCCGGGCTCAGGCTCCAGTGCGGCCGCTGATTGGCTGCTGAAGGCTTGGTCCCATCCCAGTGACCCCAAAGTGCTGGAGGGAGGGGGCGGGGGTGGCCCAGTGCAAAGTGCATCCCGAAAGCCCCCTGCCTGGAGCCCCTGCGGCTGGCACTTCGAACCCTGTGTGACCCGGGACCTCGCTGTCCCCAGACCTCCCGTGTCCGCCCGTAGCTGGGAGTCTGGCCCGGAGCGCGGCAGCCCCCTGCTCCGAGTCCTCAGACCGGGACTGCCCCCCCCAACCCGAGTCGGGACTTCCTCCCTGCACCCCTGCCCCGAGGCTGCCCCGCGGCCAGGACCGCCGCCCCCCGTCTGCTCGGCTGTCTGGATGCTCGCCGGGCTGGGGCCGTGAGGCACCGAGGAGGATCAGGAACACCCGTGTCCGGCCCTGTCTGGGGTGTTTCTTCAATGGAGAAGTTGGTGAGTGTGGAGGAGGCTGAAAGGAGGAAGAGAAGCAGCAGCTGAGGAGACAGGTAAAGTCACTTACCTCCCCTGAGAGGAAGGGGGCTGACCGAGAGGGAGGAGAATCACTGCTTCTTCCTGCCTGCCCTTACTACTCTCTTCCCATGCTCCCCGTTCCTCGGAGCCCCCTCCTCCTTGGCCCCAGGGCACTACACCACTCACTAGTTGCTGATTTCCAGGTTTGAGCTGGCTAGAGGAGACGAGAGAGCAGGAAGGGATTTGCCCACCCACCGGAGAAGCAGCAGAGAGCCTCTGACCAGCATCCTCTATAAAGGTAATAAGCCAGTCCTCCCCTCCCCCCTTTGTTTATTCCTGGCCCCTACCTTATTAAGCAGTGCTTTATTTTCAGGGTGATTACCTGGGAATGCAACCTTTTCTTGGCCCCCAGTTTGCCAGTGTAAACAAAAACACTGCCCGTGCTGTAATACTTAACATTTTAGTAACTTCTCTACCCCAGAAGCGTGTTTTACCCCCTTCTCTCCGTACAGTGTTTCCGTGTTTTGCGTTATCTTTTGGTACACTGTACCATTTACGCTGCTCTGAGACTTTGAGACCTTTTAGTAGCTCCCCCCTGCTTTACTCTCATAGGAATTCCTCAATTCCTTGTTAATTGCTTGTTAATTCTGAATGACTCTGCTTTTTAATTAAACCACAGTTTTCTCTTTTCTTCTTATTCCTTCCTATCACCTTTCCTCTACCTCCATCAGAAAAGCTTTTGCGTTACCTAACTCAAGGGTTTGATAGAGGAAGGTACAGTAATGGCTTGAAATTTATGAGTTTTGGAAAACAGTGTGACTTTTTTTCCGAGTAAAAAGTGAATCTGTATACTTTAATAATAGGAGAGATATGAAAGCAATATTCGCCCCTGAAGCGCTTATGTATAATTAACTCTTTGGGCTTTTGTGTGTTTCTGTGTGACAGATGTGGATGGGCCCTGAAACTGTTCCAAAAAGATAAACAATACTTGTTACACCTGATATTTTCTAGGAGAACTTAAAACTTTACATAATATCTTGTGAATCATTTGACACTCAAGAATTTAAAAACAAAGGAGTATTATGGTGTGTTTAGAATCTAGGGCTTTCTTTTTGCACTCTTCATAAATAATATTTTTCATTTCAAAACGCTTACAGAGAATTTGTTAGATTGAAATTTAGGCATGTAATTCATGTGACCACATTTCTGCTGCTGTATTTTGTTGCTGCCTCTAAAGATGCACTAAAGGTAAGTTCAGGACATTCTTGTAATTCCTAAAGAGGGGATATGATCTGGAAAGTTATATAAGAGTTAATTCAGAAATTAGCCAAGTGAATGACTTTTCTAATATCCAATAACAGGAGTATAAAGTGACTTGCTAATCTCAGTTATTTTAATGTCTCAGATTGTTTAGGGAATTTTAGGTACAAAGAGGTACTTAAAATAGCAGAAGTTGGTAGGAAATCTTTGATTTACTCTGTTCCAGTGGACTTTCTGCCTTCCACAAAAAGAAATTAATGTCTTTCCTGATTCTTCTAATTATCAAGATACTGTTAAAGGTGCTTTAAGAGGCTCTGAGGTTTTGCATATTCTTGAGACCTGGAACTGGACACCAAAGGGAGAATGTATGCTGCTGAGTGGGATTTAGAATCAGTATCCACCAATGACTATTCCATGGTGAACATTTCGGGTAGGCTTTGTATGTGTTTATAGGGTGCACTTCATTTCAGTAAGACTTCTGCCTAGAAGTCTATAAAGTTAAAGGCAATTTTCATTATTTAAGTATGTGGGTCACCAGAGAGATGCCTAATGATTTCTTAGGACTTTTTGAAAAATGCTAAAGTATTTGAAGTATGTTTTTAAAGTAAAAATGAATTACATATTTTCTATTCGGGCCTTCTCAATTAAATATTTTTTCTGCTTTAGATTTAACTCTAGCATGTTTTCATTTCCAAGGGGTATTAGCACTAAGAAGGTAAGGGAGTGGGTCTGTGGTGAGTCAAGCATATAAGGTAAAGAGAGGACACTGCTTTCCCCTGGTTTCCAGCCAGCTCCTTCTCATTGCTTAAATAATATTTCATTGATCCTCTCAGCTTTTACTGGTTTTTCTAAGATTAGGGAATATATATAAATTGTCAGCATCATCTGTTCCTGATATTAGCATGATCGAGAGCATTTGGTCTAGGTTATGGCAAACATTTAAAATATTTAATTTGGGTACTTATTTACCAGCATGGCCAGTTAGGTAGTTTATATTTTTCAACCTGGTAGTTAACTTTATGTTAATTCTATTGCCAGTCACATGGTTTTGAAAGAAAAAAAATCAAAAAACACATAATTTTTTCAATAACCAAATATATATTTATAATCACATAGGGAGAATAACTGATTTTAATTGAAGATATTCAGTGATGTATCTTGAGTATGTTATGGCCAATACTTATTTTCTTTATACCTAAAGTGATGCCATTCACAATTATTTACTATTATGACATGTACAGTATCTCTTTATTTTGTTCACATTTAACTTTGGTAACACAGAAGTACGTACTATCCCTGAAAAGTCTAAAGTCAGATAAAGTTAGAAGAGCATATCTAGTACCTGACTTTCAGCCTTTCATTTCCTTCTCAACTGAAGGCACTCACTAAGTAGAATGATTGTCTCCTTTCTTGCAGACTTGCTAGGCACTGACATGAGGCTGCTAAGATAATACTGCCAGACGTGGGTTAATAAGATAGTATTGACAAGACCTCATCATTTAGAGTACTTGTGATTTAAGCTTTGAGTTGGGTCACATAAGTGAATTACAAAATTTCCTCTATTGCATCATCCACATTTCATGAAAATTGTTGGTTTTTCTGTTGGAACTCATGAGAGTTATAGACAAGTTGTGCATGATTATAAATCTTTGTTATATGAGGCCCAGTAATTTGGAGGAAATATGAATACCCTCACTTGTTTTGGAACATAAACACTATGCTAACTATGTTGAGTGATACTAAAATAACACTTCTACTTTATTTTGGGTTCCAGGCTCTTGATTATACAAGTAGAGCTCATCAATGTACAGCTCATCCATGTTGCACACTCTGGGCCTTGTAGTGTTTCTGCATCCATCTTCCCTCTTAGGACTTGTGAGCCATTGGTGGTTTGTTTTTTTTTTCTCAGAGCCAATATCCTTGGAGTTGCTGATTTTATTTCCTTACCAGCCTGTATCTCTGTTTATTCTGCAAAGAAATGCTTATTTCTTTTTTTTTGAGTAGCAAGCTGTTACCTTGTTTCTAGTTTGTGTGAAATCTGAAAGCACAGTTCTAATTTGTATCACGTAATCAAAAAATGTGTGGTCTTTTAGTGAAAATAATATGCAAAAGCTGTTAATGACTAATCATTTATGCCAAAGGAAATTGGGGACATGTGGACAAATTTGGTGAAAGTTATATAATTTTAGACAGGTCTTAAATATATATTTTTTTATAGTTATTTTATTCTTCACTCTATTCTATGAATATAGACTTCTTTTAATTATGTGAATCAAGAAGTTTTGGTTTTAACTAAATGAAATTCACTTGGCCTCTATATGGAAATTAAATGCTAACATTTTAATTCCTAAATTTACAGTTTCTACTACAGTTAACAGGATTAAAGCTTGGAGGCCTACATTATTTTCTTTTCACTCCATGTAGAGTAGAAAAGATGAATTTGTAAAATTTAAACACACTATTAACATTGGGCGATAAAATCTCATATAAAAATGATATACATTGGGGAAGTGGCTCTTTTTGATATATAATTCTGAAGTCTTCCTTGTTTGTATGTTTTTTTCTTTTTTCTGACTGGGAAACCCAGAATGGAATTTCTAAAGATTGCACCCTCAGAGTTTTAGTAGTTCTGAGTCATTATTAATTTTAAACAACTTAGTTTGTACATATATTTATTTAGAAAATTGCCTCCTTAACCATATTCTTTTATTTTATAAGTGACTTCCATGAGCTATCAGATTTCAAACTTGCCCTCCTTCAGAGGAAATAGACTTTTTTCCATTCTCACCTCTGGACTTCCTCCATGGTTTTAAGTAGGCACCTTTACCACTGGATATTGTATTTACTTTTTAAGTTCAATAGTTTTTTTTTTTCTTTATTTATACATATGTAGATAGCTATACTCTATTAAGTACAAACTCTCATAAAATAACACCGAGATAAAATTAGTTACTTGTCTGATGCTTTGGACTATTAGGGTATTTTGGTAATAAGTTATTGTCCTTCATAATTTAAGGGATACAGCTGACAGGGATCATGTGTGTGTGGTGTATGTGTGTCTGTGTTTTTTCTTGTAAAGGTGGATACATGCAAAGAGTGCTTTTTTGGTTTAAACCTATGGTTATTATTTATAGCGCTTAGTATTGTCAGAAAAGAGAAAAAGGATCTTAACATTTCTAGGATTATTCAGTTTATTTTAAGTATGCAGAACTGTGTATTAAAGTTCTGCCCAGAGGTAATCCCAGTCGTCAGGGCCTAGCAGTGTTGCATGCACACGTCAGGCACTCAGTAGATTTTCATTCATCTGCCTGAAGTAGCCGGTATGGGATTATCACAAGTTACTATTGTTTATGCATCTTTCTTGTTGAGAGAAGTAGTTTAGTCACTTCATCTTTTAAGACGAAGCCTTTTCTTGATATTGTTAACAAATTAATACCATTTCATATTCTCCTTGCCTCTCACCTTGCATGTCCTCCTCCCTGGTACCTCCATGGAAGTGGTGATGGGTAGGTGGAAGGCAACAACAATAAGAACAAGGATTCTTAAAGCTTAAAACCATGGGGGAGACATCTCCACTTCTCTTGGCAGGGAGGGGGTGCCGAGGACACACCTAGAAGTAAGGATCCAGTGATACTCATTCTTGAAATGTAGGTGTAGCTCATGTGGGAAATAATCACATGTTCATTTGTGGAAATGCTAGAGGCTCATCATTGGAGACACTGGTTTGCATTTTTTAAATAAATTTTTTATTTTAGTATAGTTTTAGATTTACAGAAAAATTACAAAGATAGTACAGAATACCCATATACTCCTTACCCAGTTTCCCCTGTTAACATCTTACGTTAATAGATACATTTGTCACAATTAGTGAATCAGTAATGAACATTATTATTAACTAAAATCCGTTCTGTATTCATATTTCCTTAGCTTTTACCTAATATCCTTTTTCTGTTTCAGGATCCCATCAAGGATACCACATTACGTTTAGTTGACTTGTCTCCTTAGGCTCCTCTTGGCTGTGACAGTTTCTCAGACTTCCTTGTTTCCTTGTTTTTGATGACGTTAACATTTTGAGGAGTACTGGTCAGGTATTTTGTAGAATGCCCCTCAACTGGAATTTGTCTGATATTTTTCTCGCGATTAGACTGGGGTTATGGGTTTTGGGGAGAAAGATCATAGAGGTAAATTGCCATTCTCCTCATATACTTACAACATGACTTGGCACTGTTGATATTAATTGTGATCACCTGGCTGAGGTAGTGTTTTTCAGGTTTCTCACTGTAAAGTTGCTCTTTCCCACCTTTCCATACTGTCCTCTTTGGAAGGAAGTTTTTATGCATGGCCCACACTTAAGGAGAAGGAAGTTATGCTCATCCTCCTTAAGGGGGAAGAGTCTACACAAATTATTTGGAATTCTGCACAGGAGATTTGTTTCTTCTCCACCCTTATTTATTTATTCAATCAGTTATTTATATCAGTATGGACTCACTGATATTTATTCTGTACTTGGGTTAGAATCCAGTAGTATGTTAATTATCTTGTTCAAATTGTTCCATCTTGGCTATTGACAGATCTTTTAGTTGGCTCCTGTGTCCTTTTGACATACCCCATTATTGCATTTTTCTTCAAGCACTTTTTTCCTTTTTGGCACTGTAAGATGCTCCAGGCTCATGTTGTATATTGCCTGCCCCAGTCCTAGACTCAGCCATTTCTGTAAGGATGGTTCTGCATTGTTTATGGCTTGCCTTATAGGAGCTGTTCTTATCGTGTCTAATTCGTTTATTTAGAAATAATAGGGAGCATTTTAAATCAAATATTATTTCCAAGTGCATGTTGGCAAAGTCTTTGGCCTTCCTTGAAGAAGTTTGGCAAGGAAAAATAAGGTGTGAAAAGAGGAAAGAGTCAAAGTGGACTATATTATCTTGGATGGTTCAAAATTCTGGCTGTGCGGCCAGCAGCACCTGCGACTGCCGCTTTTCCCCGTACCAGCTCAGGTTGCCAAGTGGCCCGACCTTTCCTTGTTTAAGTGACAGAGGGCTTAGCACACCTGCCCCACTGGGATAGGGGTGACAGTTCTCCCAATGAGAAATTCCAGGAGTGATTCTGGTGTAATGTGTGGAAGTCCCTTTACATGTGTTCTTAACCTTAGTGGAATTCACAGACCTAGGATTTAATTGACATGGAGAAAGATCCGTTTTATTTTAGTTGTAGAGAGAGAATCTTTTCAGAAGTCATATGGGGAAGCTGGCAAGACTATTGTTATTGTTTTACTTAGTTGGATGTATGCATAAAGGAATAACAGTTTCAAAATGATTAACGTGATACCTTTTGGGCATATGAACAACCAGCAGTTAAAGACATAATCTCCTTTTAGTTGTCATGGATTCCGTGTTGGCCCTGGCCACCTACTGTATTGAATGCACACACATTTTCATTTTGGTCCTATTTAGAATGAGCAAGTGACTAACGGTGTCAGTTAAAAGGCAATTCAAATGAAGCAAGTCTGAAAATACATTCTGAACAGAGCAAAAAGAAGAATCTGTGTTTGCATCCAAATTCCAAATGTGTGGTTTATTATTTTCTTCTTCAAAAAACTGCCTTTTTAGAAAAAAAAGTTCCTGAAATTAATCATATTCTATACCACTTTGGAGATTAATGTGGGTCTTGAGATCATTTTCTCTAAGAATTCATCTCAGTTCTTTCTCTATTCTGTAAGTTTGTGGCAGAGTGCTGAAATTTAAGCTCATCAAAAGGTAGACTATGCAGGCAGCCATGATTCTTTATTATTTTTAGGAATTTTCCCATGATTGTTATTTCATTTGTTTTTAGGTTAAGAAAGCTTATTCATGCCACCATCTGGACACACTCTGAACCCCCTCCCCACAATGCTGTATGTGCAGAATGACTATTAGGCAATCCACCTATCAGGAGAAGGGACATTCTTCTGTAAGGTAAGTGACTGAGGGTCATTGGTCTTCTCTGTTCTTCTGGGGGAAAACCCATTTAGCTTGTACTTTTCTCCTTCAAATCAGCTAACGTATACTAAACACAGCACTTGCTAAAAGAAAGTCCAGGTTTGTTTTGATTTTATTTGAATCTTTTTCTTGCATAGTAGGCCTCATGTAAGTGCCAAGATAATCATCCCATTAAAAAAAAAAATCAGCTAAAGGTGATTGTTTTGAGTATATAGTAATAGTTTCCATTAATTCCTTTTAATGGTCTTCAACATCTTCTAACACTAAAAATAAGCAAAAACCTATTGCAAAAGGATTCTTGGTTTTAAAATTTCTGGGACAAGAGACTTAATTTTAGTGTCGGTTGAAAAAGTAATTAAGTGAAGAGATGGGGGGAAATCATGTTTATGAAGAAAACAAATTGTCAGTAAATTTCTCATTTCCCAATTTTCTCTGAGGAAATAGCTCTTTGTAGCAGTAGCCTGATATTTTAAATTACATTACTTAGTAGTGATCTTAGGAGTTTGTAATAATCATTTTCTCTGTATAAAACAACATAGGATATTTGATTATGCTCTTAAGCTGTGGTGGTTTGACCTAAGTTAGGCTTAAGTTTACCTTTTACAATCTATAATGAGAAGTTTTATAAGATAAATTATTATCGGTAACAAGATCATCCCACGATGTCTAACCTACATATGAGACCAAAAGGACTTTATCACATAATTTTTTTTATTTTTAGAAATGGAAGCCTGCTAATTAAGAGATGAGTCTAATCTGTTCCTTAAAATTAGCTCAGATGGAATGGACTCCTAGAAGCATGTTAGTTTAAGTTTCTGTATGTATTTAAAAGCTTAAAAATGTACTAAAAAAAAGTTTTTGTACACAAACGTGTAAGATGCAACTTATCACCAGTTCTGTTTGGACTTTTCCTGTTTGCATGAAGGAGATCTCATTTTATATTCAGTTTGAGTACACACCTCTTTTGTGACCTATTAGAGACTGTGGGAATTTAATATACTACTTTTCCTTTAAAATAATTTTTTTTCATGTGGTTAATTAACAAGTTGTTTAGATTCTTATAGTTTTTAAATATTTTGTATTATCTTGTTACTTTGAATATTTATAGAGTAAAACTTCTGGAAAACTGAAATTAGAAAAATGTAAAAGAGATGTGGCAGAAAAAGTGGAGTAAATTGTGCATCAAATAGTATAAAGTGGGGAGGATAGAAAGAGAAACAGAAATAAACAGAAGGAAAGTAAATATATTCTACACATTTTAGTCTAATTTACTTAGCCCCGCCCACTTCCTCTTCCCCCTAACCTTCCACCCTTTGGGGCTAAAAATAAAATATTGTTGAAATACTTGAAGGAACCGACCTTAAGTTTTTTGCCTTTTTTTTTTTTTTTAACTACTTCTCATAGTTAAAGGGCTTTAGTCTTCATAGTCTTTGAATTGTTCACTTGATACCCCATATTTACTCACTTATCTGTGATAGAATCTTTGGTTGGTTTGTAACTTAAATCTCCTCCATGTGCATTAGGTAAATCCAAACTCTTGAGACAGATACTTCTCTGACTTCTCTGTGATCTTCCCTCTTCTAGCTGCCCAGCATCACCTTTCCTTTTACCTAAAATACTACCGTTATGGTCATAGGATGTTTGCTTTGAGTTTTCAAAAGGCTGCAGAAGAAATTTCCTGTTTCAGCAATTCAGGGCTTTATGCCTGGCTTTCTTTATGAAATCTTTTATAGTCTTAGGAACATTACTGAAAGTTTTGGTACTGATCTGTTTTGGTCATAACAGATACATGCTAATTACTTGTAGTAGTATGAACTATCATTTCTGAGGTTTACATGATTTAGCAACAGAAAATTCTGTGATGTTTAATGGACACGCTGTCAGGAGCCAGAGATTCTAAATTTCATGTATTCTATCTGCCCTTAAAGGCTGATCCCTGTGACCTAATGAATCCTTTGTAAAAAGTGGACTCAGCTAGGATGTTACACCACCATTGTCGAAGGAACCCTGAACTCCAGGAAGAATTGCAGATTCAGGCTGCAGTGGCTGCCGGGGATGTTCACACAGTGCGAAAGATGTTAGAACAAGGCTATTCTCCAAATGGCCGGGATGCTAATGGCTGGACCCTGCTTCATTTTTCTGCAGCAAGAGGAAAGGAAAGATGTGTTCGAGTATTTCTAGAACATGGAGGTGAGTGTACTAGAAGCAAACCTCTTTTGTGCAAGGAGAAACTTAAAATGAAATTATATTCAGTTTAAAATATGTATACCTATGTATGTAATTTTTAATGCTTCTCTTTTATTAATACTTACCTTCTTATTCTCTCTCCTTTGTGAAGACATGTCATAATTATGCTGAGTTTTGTTTAAAACCAGATTGGTTAGAAGATCACTTTGGTGAATGTGCTTTTTTCCCTCTGTAGCTGTAGTTTATATACAGCCAGGTTTTCCCAGGTTATTTCAGCTAAAAGCAACCCTTATTCAGGTTGTCCAGTTGCTTTTGTTGCAGAAGCAGAAATGGCTGTGGTACCACAATTAGAGAATTGCACAAATTTCCCCTGTTAGAATTGCTCAAGCAGGCAGACCTAGCACTGCCTGGTTCCTGTGCCTAGCACAGGTTCCTTTAAATATCATGGCCTTAATGGTACCCTGTCTTTCGAACTTACCTCCTTTTTAAACAATTTTTGGGTGCTTTCTTTTATGACTGTTTTAGAGCATTTGCCTTTTCCAGAATTGTTCACAGTTTCTGGGTATCTTACAAGAAGATTGATTATCTGAGGTCTCATTTTGTATAAATATATGCAGTTGCAAACTACATTTGACATTTTATGTTTCTGCTTCAAAAAACTGTCCATTCCCATAATTTGTAATTCCCGTAGTCAATAATAACTAATAATTGTCCTAAACTAATTCACTTTTTTCTTCAGTTGAATTTCCATTTGCTTTATTTTCCTAAAGATGGATTATATCTATTTTATCATTTGTACCCATAATATCTTTGTAAATTATCATGTGAAGCAGCTTGGTTGGGACTCAAGTTCCACATGTGCCATGCTAGGGCCTGAATTGCTCGTTAACAGTCATTTACTTTCATTTCTAAGGTGTACTTTTTTACAAGCCTACGCAAACTTACTTTCAACCTTACTTGAAGTGCAGAAAATGTTAGAAGTCCCACAGCTCTCGTAAGGATGGTGTGTTATGTGAAGTTAGGACTACGAAGGCTATGAGCAGGGACTGGTTGCAAGGTGATGTTAAACCTGAGACTAGGAGTCATCACACATCCCAGGGGCCCTGAAATAGGAATTATAGCCCCTAAATAGTTAACTGTTGACAGGACCCAGCCATTTGCTGGCCTGTGCCTTCTCCGTAGCTCTCCTCCACCCTCCCTGCCACTCTTGCTCATACCTCATTTCACCTTAGAACTTGAAAACCTCAGTTCTGAAGTTAATGAAAGGGAAATGTAAGAGGAATGCCAGGAGAAAGATCTGAAAAAGCTGAAGGGTGGTTGTGGGATCAGAATATTTAAAATTCTGGCAGTGCTTAGTAAAATTAAGACCAAGATCAGAGCTCACGTTGTTTATTCCATCTAGTCCTGTTACTTTCTGCTTCTGCCAGTCTCACTTGTAAAAATTAGTTTAAAAGAAAAGGTTTAATTGCTCAGGTAATATATGAATTTGTTTCTTTGAAACAAATAAAACAAATTTCAAATAAATTATAAGTAAAGCCAAAGTCCCCTTTGGCCAACTCCCAATCTTGATCTGCCTGCCCCTGCCCAGACCATGGGTCTGAGTTTGACTTGGTCCTTATCTTTCTAGATCATTTCCTGATACTATTACATGTACTCATAGGAAATATGTCATATTGTGTTGTGTGTGGCTTTAGAACAGAAGTTATAACATACTGACCGTGTTATTCAGCAACTGTTGTTTTTCGCTCACCTATATAACTTAGGGTTTTTTTAATATTAGAGGTTGGCAAACTTTATCTGTAAAAGGCCAGATGGTAAATATTTTAGGTTTCGCAAGGCCCACTATCTCTGTTGTAACTACTCAACTTGGCTTTTGTAGTGTGAAAACAGCTATAGATAATGTGTAAATGAATGAGTCTGGCTGTGTGCTGATAGAACTTTATTTATAAAAACCAGTGGTGGGCCAGATTTGGCCTTTGGGCCACAGTTTGCTAAATCCTATTTCCTCACCCCCCAGCTGTGTGTATGCATACATATGTGTGTGTGTACGGTCATGCATTGCTTAACGACAGGGATACGTTCTGAGAAATGCATCATTAGCAAATTTCGTCATTGTGCGGCATCATAGAGTGTACTTACACAGACCTAGGTGGTATAGCCTTACTACACACCTAGGCTATATGGTACTAATCTCATGGGGCTGCCGTTGTATGTGCAGTCCGTTGTTAACCGAAATGTTGTTATGCTGTGCATGACTATATATATATATTTTTTTACAGCTTTCATTGCAAAAGAATTCACCTTACGATTCACCCATTTAAAGTGTACAATTCAGTGGCTTTTAGTACATTCATGGAGTTGGGCATCTATCACCATAACCAATTTTAGAACATTTTCATTACCCCAAAAAGAAACCTTGCACCTGTTCTATATTAGTACGTATAGATTTACTCTGTTCTTTTCAACTGCTGAATATAGTATTTATTAGTATGGATATACTATCATTTGTTTAAGCTATACTTTCTTTTTAAGAATGGCTGAAATTTTCTCAGCAGGAGATTTTATTTATTGAGAAGGTAACACATACATATACTCGGTTAAAAGCAAAACGAAAAGTGTTATGGGTTGTTCAGTGAGGGGAAGACATCTGCTCTTTAGCACCAGTCCCCTAGTCTCCTTCCCCGAGGCAGTCACTCTTCCTGGCTTCTTTTGTGTCCCTGCAGACATAGTGTGTGCACATAGAGGTACATATTTTTCTGTCCTCCACCTTCTAGCCTGCTCCCCTTTTGTTAATAGTCTGTTCGGAATCTTGATTTTTTCATCTAACGGTTTAGCTAAGTGATAGTTCCTTGTCCACTATATGACTCTATCTCACGTTCCATTGTATGGATGTAATTTATTTAAACATATCCTCCATTGTTTGACATTTTAATTTTTCATTTTTCTGCTACTAGAAACAATATTACAGAGAATGTCCTTGACTGATCTTTTTATATATGTGAGAGTTTCTCTTGGATAATTCCCAGAAGTGCAATTGCCAAATCAAAAGGATGTTACCTTTTTTTTGATGGGTATTGACAAATTGCCCTCCTCCAGAGAAGGTTGTGATGGCTCTGTCCTTTCTGACCAGGTGGGGCAGTGCTGTACCCAGCCTTTGCCAGGAGTGTATTATCAGATGGTTTGCTCTACGCCTGTAAGATTGCTTGCCTCTCTTTTTTTCCAAAAATGACATACAAGTAACAAAACATTGTAAGACTGGGCTGCTTTGCTTGTCTTTTTCTTATTGATTTATAGGAATTGTTTACATTTTCTCCTTTGTTAGTTATATGTTGCAACAGTCTTCTCCTAGTTTGTAGCTTTTTCACATTCTCGATGTTGTGTTTGTTGTTCTTGGGCAGAAGTCTGCATTTTAATGTAGGTGAATTTTGTTTTTCTTTTGCCTTATGGTTTGTGCTTTTTGTGTCTTGTACGATATTCCATAGGGTTATTATTAGCCTGTATTTTCTTTTAAAAAGTTTTGTGGCATTTAGGTCTTTAGTCTGTCCAGAGTTGGTTTTGGTGTATAATATGAGGTGGTCGCATACAATTTCATATTTTTCCCCCATGACGGTAGCCTGAATTGTCTCTTCTTTCGTCATTGCTATGTCCTGCCATCTCAGATATAAAGTTTTCATGTATGTGTGGTTCCATTAGTTCTGTTGTCTGTTGGTGTATCCCTGAGTCAGTATAATACTATCATAAGTGCTACACTAGAGTCAGTATAATACTATCATAATTGCTATTACTCTATAATAAGTGTTGATATCTGGGGGGTGCAGATCTCCTCTTCTTGTTCTTTAAGAGTATCTTGGTTATTCTTAGGTATTTACATTTCCATATAAAATTTTAAAGCAACAAAATTAAATATTTTGGAGAAGCCCCTCGTTTGTTCTTGTATAGCACCTTTTACTTGCTCCTATTACCTGAGTAGAATAAGAGATTTAGGGAATATTTTTTTCTAGCATATCATGCATCGATTTGAGAACGTTAGTAGGAAAGGGAACCTCCTCCTTCCCCTTCCCCTTGGCCATATATGATGCTTAGACGTGCTCTGTGTTTAGTCTGGGCCTGGCTTCTGATGTCTAGACTAGTGTATCCAGCCGCTTGCTCAGCCTCTCCACGCTCATGGCTTACAGCACAGCACGAGCTGCTGCTCCAACCGTGTTCTTTTGCAGTAATGGCACCACGGCCTATGACTGCTATGCCAGAAATCTAAAAACCATCCTTGACTTTCTTTCTCCTAAATAGTTGATAAATCTTTTCACTTCTTTTCATTGGAAGCACTGCCCTACCTTTGGGCAAGGAAATGTCGTTTCTCACCAGAACTCTTATGATGGTCTCCTTCATTCCTGCTTCTAGTCTTGCCCCCTCCCAGCCAGTCTCCAAATAGTGTGATCTGTTAAAAGTGAAAATTAAAATATTTCCTTTTTACAATCCATCAGGTTTCCTATTTCCCTTAGCATAATATTCAAAGTCCTTAATGTGACCTACGTGACCCTGCAGTGTCTGGCTCCTCTGCAGAATCTTTCCAGTTTCATCTTTGAGCTGTAGTCCCTCTATGATCTTTCGGATTCACTGAGCTCAGAGGCTTTGTGCTCACCCCACTGCTGCTGCCTTTACCTTGCTCATGCCTGCCTCTTCCCGACTCTCACTTACTACCTTCTCAGGGAAATCTTCTCTTACAGCCAAACTTGGTCAGATCCCTCCATTGCATGATAGTAGTGTTCTCTACCTTTTTATTATAGCTCCTGTCACAAGCATAATGAATTATTGTTGCAGTACTACAGGCGGACCTTGTTTTATTGAGCTTCGCAGATACTGTGTTTTTTACAAATTGAAGGTTTGTGGCAACCCTGCATTGAGCAAGTCTATCAGCGCCATTTTTCCAACAGCATTTGCTCACTTTGTGTCTCTGTGTCACATTTTGGTAATTCTCACAGTATTTCCAACTTTTTCATCATTTT